TTGGATTTGATACTGAGAAAACTACATTAACAAAGGCATTAAATGTTACCCTAAGTATTGGAGTTAGGCTGGGTCAAGACAGACTATACATTTTTAGAAGATTCCAGAAGCTTTCTTGAGCCAGTTCTGTGGGACAAGGCACGAAAACTTCTGAGAAACATACCAGTTTCTGCCCTCAGCTCCAGAACAGGAAGCAAAGACATGACCCAATCACATGGCATCAAACCAGTCTGTCTGTTCAGAGAAAGCTGCATTATGCAACCCACGACCAAGAAAGAACAGCAAAAGGCATGAGGTTTTTTGACATGTGCAGGGGATTCTGTGGTTTGAAAAGACATGTTCTCACATCAAAAGGGCAATCCACTGGATACTGGCATTTTCAAAACCCACTTCATGAGACATGAACATATCTAATACAATATAGCACTACTACAAGAACGGTACTGAGTCCAGGTAATCGTTTTGGTTAGGCCTAGGAGCTTTCAAGTGAAGTCCACAGGAGCAGCCTTCCCCACAAGAAGACTGGCTTCCCTTTTGATTATTTTTAACATATCAGTTCCCCGTTTAATTTCAACATTTACAAAGTAGATCCTGGCGTTCCAGTGGTTAAAACTCAGTACTTCCACTGCAGGGGGCACAGGTTTGATCCCTGGTCAGGGAACTAAGATCCTGCAAGTCAAGTGGAAAAAAACAAAATAAAAATAAAACGTATTTACAGTGTATTACCCATTAAAAAATGTTTTTTTCTTTAAAAAAAAAAAAAAAGAGTTCATCTAAAATTCTAAACCTAACCACCACGTACTACAAGGCCTACACCCCACTTCAATTAACCCAAAATTTCTTCCAAATTAATATGTCTACATTTCCTAATCAACAAACACTACACCAGGTCCTCTTTTTATTTTTTTCCAGCAGTATAAAAAGGATACTAACATTCTCTTGAGGACTTTATAACTTATAATTATTCTCCCTCTCTCCCACTTTCAGAACTCACTTTTCTTAAGCTCTATGAAATTCAAGGTAACTTCACTTACAAAAGTCACTCCATTAACTCTGTTCCTCCCTGATCCAAGTCCTTCATATCTTAAAGTGCCATATAGGACACAAGATCCAGAATTAGAAAAAAAATCAAAGTTCCTGTCCTGGTTCTTCCCTACCCTGAGAAATTCACCTAACCCATGTTTTTCCATCTGTAAAGTGAATGACTTACGACTTTCAACATTCGAATGCCTATTACATTATTCTCTCTTATCCCACTTACATTTCATTTCTTATATTCTCTCTTATCCCACTTATATTTCATTTCTGCTTCAGTCACATATTAGAGAATTTTTAGAATTGGGGAATAAATAATAGTGGTTAATATATCCAAACCCCACATTTTAGAATAAGGAAATTATAGAGTAACTTGCCAGCCAGACAATAAAAGCTTTTGCTTCCTGCCTTAAGGGAGCTGGGGGACACAGTTTACAAAGAGAGAGTTTAACACTAATCACATCCCCCACTCTGCCTCAATGAATTCCAGCTACCTTTCAAAGTCCGTTTAAGTCCTGAAGTGTCCAGGAAGCCTCCCTCCCCCAGTCACTTCAGCCTAGACTACTCACTTCCCTCTTTGAATACTGATGCCTCTCTGCAGGGGTGATATTAAAAGTATTAACAACTAGCACCACAGTGGGACCAACCAATCAGAAAGGATGTCAGACCAATCAAAACACAGGTGGCCCAGTGGGAATTTCTGGCTGAACATCAGCCCTCCTATTAATAACAATACAAAACAGCAACCTCAAACTCTAATACCATTTTCTCATTTGATCTCCACAATCTCATAAACTAGGCAAAGTAGGTATCATCCCCGTTTTCTGCATAACTAGAAGTTACATGACTTTTCTGATTATATACAGAATTCTCAATACTGTATAAACTGTACGTACATATAACAGTATAATTAACCAAAGGAGTACTAAAGTCAAATAGAAATCATTTAGTCAACAAGTACTTAAATGGAACAGAATATAAAACATAGTGCTAGCTTCTAAAACCAAAAGGAAATTAAAAAAGCATGACCCTTGCCCTCTGGGTACTTATAACATGTTCAAGAGAATATTTAAGTAACAGTGTAAGGTGGTAGAAAGAGAAAACACCAAGTGTAAGTTCTATGCAATTCAAGCAAATAGTTCGCAAACTAAACCAGTATAGAAAGTCAGGACTAAAAACTTCTCACACTCCCAAAAGGGGCAAAATTAAATCTGTAGTAAAAAGGCTGAAAAATCAGGAGTGGGTGGGAAAACAGAAAACACTGGAATCAAGGGTCTGCAGTAGCAGAATGAGAGATCTCTAGCTAGATACAGAAATGGCCCTAATCATAAGCCTCAAGTACTGCTCTAAGCACTGAATACAAATGGGAAATCTTATAAACCCCTTGTGGGGATGGCTGAGGAAGGTTAGCTTGGCAGCAGCCTACAGAAAAGTCTAGGTGAGAGAAACTCTGGAAAGCAAATGGATTTGAGGGATAATAGGCAGGACTAAACCTGATAGCTGCATGTGAAGAAAGAAGATACAGTCAAGAGGCATTAATGTAAAGAATAGTTGGGTTTGGGCATGTTTTCAAAGAAAAAGTTACAAAGTGACAGGAAGCTAAAGCAGTCTCATGGGAAATCCACTCAACATAATGGTACTAAACTGTGTGCCAAAGACAAGGCACCAATTTTCCCAAAGAAATCTACGTTGGACAGGGCAGGAGGTGGGCGGAAAAATAGAAAACTGGTACCCAGACAATAAGGAACAACTGCAGACTCTTAAAAATGAAGGTCAAATTATTATTTTTTTAAATTGTGTGTATTTATTTGGCTGCACTGGGTCTCAGCTGCAGCATGTGGGATCTAGCTCCCTGACCAGGGATCAAACCCCAGGCCCCTGCAATGGGAGCTTGGAGTGCCAGCCACTGGACCACCAGGGAAGTCCCTCAAATTATAAATTTTAAAAAGCATTTGAGCTTCTTCAGAAGGTCCGAAAGGATGAATGGAAACAAACATAACCAAGGAGAGCAGGCAGACCAGCTGAGGTCGTCTAGACTTGAGGATAACAGCGCCTGGATCGGCTTTGTATTGTGTGCATGCCAATGCAGTCTGTACGCTCCTCCAGGGCATGAACTGGGCAATGCTTTGTGTATCTAGTAAGCTCAATTCTGTTATTTGAATACATGAACACTTTGTGTGCTAAGCTAAGTGGAAAAGAGTGAACTATGCTATTTGAGTTAATTACTGGTGTGGAAATGCTACTTATGCTTGATGCATAATTATACTGATTCTCCTACCTATCCACATATCTATCTTGCCTCCCTTCTCAGGCAATGTCAAAAATCCACTGTTTCCTCAAAGGTAGGCCTAGCCTGAACGGACTATAAGAATGTACTTGAAGGGAATTTCCTGGCAGTCCAGTGGTTAGGACCCCACGCTTCTACTGCAGGGGGAACTAAGATCCTGCATGCCATGCAGTGTAGCCAAAAAAAAAAAAAAGTATTTGGAATCAGAAAGAAGCCAAATTGTTTTTCTAATTGTGAGGACAAAAATCTAAAAATGAATATGGGCAATGCCAGAGAGGTATATATACTAAAACATATAGGTTTTGGACCCTGAAACCTTTGCTGCAAATCCTAAATGCAGCTTTTAGCAATCGAGCCCTCATCCTCTCCACACCTGTTTCCTCTTCTGTAAAATGGGGCAATCGCCACTAGCCCTCAGGGTTTAGTTGGGAGGATCAGATAATGTACTTCGGTGTACTTTATGCCTCTGTATCATAATAAGCTCTTAATAGACAGTAGCTATTAACAATAACTGGCACCCTAAGTCTTGAAATGTTTTTAAAACACTCTGTGTTCAATGAGAGAAATAAAAATGTATTCACTTTATTTTAGTTGCTTTCACTAAGGCTCCACATTTCAGTTTCCAGTAGTACAGTCTGAGTGCTAACAAAGTTTTTCACTCCCCCTTCCATTGGGTAGGTGATGACCCCATACCCCAACCTGATTTAATATTTTGGAAAACCTAACAAATACTGTCCCTCGAAAACCAGCTACACAGACGACCGATTCAAACTACTGTCACTCACTCAAGAAATCGAACCTCTCTACCGATGTTCCTTCGAGGAAATAAAAGCGTTTGATCAATTCAGTCATTTCCATTCAAACATTCCAAACCCCGCAGAGTGAGCAAACGTTCAAGTTTCTACTACCAAAACAATCCGCAGCCTTCTGGTGAGCGGATTCCACTTCAGCGTTCCCCAGACGCACGAAAGAAGAACCAGTCCACACATCTTATTGCCTCCTTGTCCTCACACAAAGCTTCGCAGCAGCTCCTCTTCCAAAGCCGCCCCCAGCTGGAGAAGCAGCCCCACTCGGCGGGGTCAAGCCGATGTCAAAGGCCAGGGAGGCCTCGCTGACCCCGAGGGTCTCGGCCACACACATCCCCTCCCACTGCTGGGGGAGGCCTGGAGGCTCAGAGCGCACACCCCGCCCTGGAAGCTTCCTCCGACCCCTCAGCCCTGCCCGGGCCCCCGGAGCCTGGAGGACCAATTCGCTCGGGGTGCGGTGCCTGGGACAACGCCACGCAGCGCCTCGCGGGAACCGGGGGGCAGCCCCAGCTCTGCCGGTCTCGGCCAGCCTCACACCCTCCGGCCCTCGGCCCGCGCCCATTCGCTCCCCAGAGGGCAGCCCCGGACCCCGGACGGCTTCGCCCGACGCCACCTCCCCGCGAAGAGCCAGCAGCCGCGGTGGCTGCGGGCTGCCGGGCACGTTCAGCCGCGCTCGGACCCACGCCTCCGCCCCGCCTCCGCTGCCCGCCCGCGGCTCGCGAGGCGGCGGCCAGACCAGGAAAGCCCGGCCCGGGTGCCGCCACCTGCGCCCCCGGCCCCGCGCCATGTTTGAGAAAGAGGAGTGAGCCAGAGGCCGGGCCCGGCCCGCGCGCCCCGAAGCTTCCCGCCAGCCCTGCCGCGCCGCTGCTCACCCGTTGCCTCCGGGACCAGCGTGGCCGCCGCCGCCAGCATGAGGAGGAGCAGCCGGGGACGCGGAGTAGCGGCCGCTGCCTCCATAGTCCCGCCGCCACCGCCTGTGGCCCGGCCCGGCCCGGCCGCCGCCTTGCCTCAACAAGCCTCGCCTCGCCCCACCTCCCCTGCCGCGGCGGCGGCCTTGCTCCGGCCCTTTGTAACTGCTCGGGGGCTGCCCGTCCATTGGCTGCAGGGCTCCCGCCGGCCCCGCCTCCCCGCCGTCTGCGAACTGCCGAGCGGGACCCAACCCGAAACCCCGCCCACGGGCCCGCTGGGAAGCCAATCCGGAGCCGCAGGCGCCGGGCTGCTGGCCACGCCCCCAGACTCCCCGGGGGCCGGGGAGACAGACCCCAGCCGGAGTCCGAGCCGCTGGGAGCCCGAAGGCCGGGTGGGGGCAGGGTCCAGCGAGCCCGGCACAGCCTTCCCTCCGGCCTCGGAGGGCGAGGGCTAGACGGTGGGTGTGTCTGGGTGTGAGTCGCTTTCGGAAGAAGGCTGTGGCAGCTCTATTCTTCTAGCCTCTTTTCTTCTCATTTAAGATCTGGTACCCAGCCTGACCCTGCTTCACAGTCCTGCACCGTCAATCCCACACACCTTCACCCAGCCCATCAGTATCGTCGGGCAGCTTCAACTTCCCCTCTCCAGATCCATGCCTCAACTTTCAACACCATCCCCCCACCCCAAGATCCTACCTCGGTGCCTTTCAGATACGACCCAGTCTCCTGTTTCCTCCCACTGTCATTGTCCACACCCAAACCTAGATTACCCTCACCCCTCAAAAAAAAAAGTCTAAAGAGTCTCCAAATCCTGGCCTCAGCTCCCCGCCTCAGACACAGATCCCGAGCTCAGACACACCCCTGAACTGACTCCCGCCCCTCTCCGGAACTCAGAGCTGAGCCAGACTGGACTGCAAACCACACTCCTTTCCCCTTCTCCCTCCCTGATCCAGGTGGGAAAGCGACGGTTCCCACCCCCATCCCCCAAGGACAGGGATTCCCCCTTCTTAGCAGGCAGCACCCGGGGAGCGGAGGAGGAGCAGTCAGCACTTTGAGCTGCCTCTGACACGCCTGCACAATAATTCTGAGGTGTCACTAGAAACCCAAATAAACTCAGCTACGTTTTCATTCTGAATTCCTAATTTACTGTGAGACGCTCCACCCACCTTTCCTCTGGGACGCCAAAATGAGCTCCAGATTTGTAATTCTTCCTGTCAGACTAGTCCTCTCTTCAGACACAAACACAGCCGAGGAGGCTGTTACATAGAACAGAGAACATTTTTCCACAGAACCTTTCAGGGAGAAAATTTTATTTTCTGTGTGATTCGAACTTGGAATTAAATAAACCTTGGTAGCAGGAATCAGAACCAGCCTCTACTATCGATTTGTAAATTGGTTTAGGGCTACCGGGGTGAGCATTTTACAAGCCTGTGAAGACCTCCCTCCTGAGTAGTAAAGGGCAGGGTGGGGGTGTTGGAACTGAGATCTGAGATGGGCACTATTCCCCTTCTGGCTTGAACACCTGTTTGAGCAAGCCAGTTAACCTTTCTGAGCCTTCATTTTGTCATCTATAAAATGGAAATAATATCTATCTCCCAAGTTTTAGTGAGAGACTACCTTAAGCCTTGGAGAAGGAAATGGCAACCCACTCCAGTATTCTTGCCTAGAGAATCCTGTGGACAGAGAAGCCTGGTGGGCTGCTGTCCATAGGGTCGCCCAGAGTCAGAGACAGCGACTTAGCATGCATGCATGCATGCCTTGGAGAAGGAAATGGCAACCGACTCCAGTGTTCTTGCCTGGAGAATCCCAGGGATGGGGGAGCCTGGTGGGCTGCTGTCTACGGGGTCGCAGAGAGTCGGACACGACTGAGCGACTTAGCAGCAGCAGCAGCATGTTAAGACTTGGGGGCTCCCCTTCCTGCCTCTGAAATTCTTCTGATACACTCTCTCTCTGGACCCCTCACTTGCTCCTCTCCTCTGGACAAGTAAGGAGCTGGTATACATACACCAGACCACCTAGCCAGGGGTGTAGCTACTGCTGGATCCAAGGCCACAGCCTGCTCTCTGGGGACGCCTGAGATCTCCAGCAGGAAGCCTTGTTCTTAGCTCCCTGCAGCAGGCAGGCGAAGCCCAGAGAGCCAGGCCTGCCAGGGTCCAGCCCCAGTCTGCTTCCCCATCCTGGTTCCTCAGTGGGGACCTGGAGGGTCAGTCAGGACTTTGTGATGTCTGCAGTCTCTAGACTTCTTTTTCTGCTGCTCTGCTCTCAATATCTTACTTAAGATAAACACTCAGAGATACTTACTGTGTGAATGAATGAATGATTTATCTCAGACAAGCGATTGTTTTTTCTCACTATTGTTTTTCATCTCTAAAATGGAAATATAAGAATACCTTCCCCATTTATAAATAAAAGGGATCAAATCACGTCTTAGGCCCCTTAAATGACGTAATGTGTCTGAACAGTGTCTGGAACATAGTAAATATTTAGTAATGTCATTTCCTTGGCCCATCCCATTCCAGCTCTGTGTGATTCTAATCAGCATTCACGTTGATGGTAATCCACGCTTTTGCCTTACAGAGCCTCAGTTAATCAGTGTTGGAATATCTTCTGTGACACACTTCCAGGGCCTTCATATTTTCCGTGGAATTGAGTGTGTTTATTAGGAAACTGAGGAACAGGAAGGAGAAACAAGACTATTTTTAAATTTTGTTTTCCTGATATGTGGAGGAAATTTCCATGAGCCACAGATCCATAAATAAACTACATTAGAATGGAATGATAAATTATAAGTTTATAACCATGGTTCTCAAATTTAAAATGTCTCCAAATTACCAGGGGAGCTTTTTAAAATGCAGATTCCTGGTTTCAGTTCTAGAGAATCTGCTACAGTTCATCTGAAGGAGGTCCAGGAGTCTGCATTTGTAATAAACACCCCCAGGGAATTTAGTTGCTGATGTCACCAGGTCACGCTTTAAAAGACACTTGGTTTAGGAAACGTGACCTTAAAATTCAATTTTAAAAATGTATGTGCTTATTTCACCTTTTGAAATAGGGGTGGGCAATGGAAGGAAGGCTCTGCTGAAACTCTGGCTCTGCCATTTCCTAGATGTAGGATCTGTGCCTTCTACCCCATCTCTCTGAGATTTTACATCACCCTGGTGTAAAATGAGATAATGACACTGACTCATATATTTGCTATAAGGTCTAAATGTGTTCTTGCACATGAAGAATCTATGATGTGACTTCCGTTCACAGTTTCTGTAGGTCCTCAAAAAGAAATCCAGTTTGTTCCCTCCAACGCTGTGATTTAAAGGGGAAGAAAGTGAGGACTAGTCCTCCAGCAAGTCGTCTTCAGAGCTAAGACCCGGAGATTCTCTCTCTAGTCCCTACACAATACTGTCTCTCCATCTGTATGCAGGGTACAGTGCTTGCTTTGCTTTTCATCATTCTCCACATAAGATGTTTTCTCTCAAGTAGAGAGCAGAGACTGCTAGTTGCCTAATCTACGTCCATTCCCACATTCACTTTATAACAGAATCCTCATTTCCTTTGGCAAAGCCGTTCACCTAACTAAAAATTTCCCAGGCTTGGCTCCTAGATATGGTCATGTGACAGATTTCCGGCCAAAGAAATATAATCAGAAGTCTACCAAGTAGAGCTTCTGGGAAAGATGTTGTTTTCCTCATAAAGAAGAGACAGACATACCACATTCTCACCCTCTTTCTGCCTGGAACACAGTTGCAGTGCCTAGAAGTGCAGCAGCCATCTTGTGAACATCAGGATGATGGCCATGACTGGGAATAATGAAGAGGAAAATAAAAGACAGTCTGGGTCCTTGATAAATTCCTTAAGCAACTGTACCAACTCTGAAATGCTTACTCCTGGAGTTCTTATTATATGAGAAAAAGAAACATTTTTTTTTAACTCTAGAACACTTCAGTTCTAGCCCTATGCTATCTGCTGCTATATATTTTCTTTCTATCTTAATTTTTAACCCACAAGACATTATCGATTTATACCATTATTGAAAGTAAAAGTCGCTTAGTCGTGTCCAAATCTTTACCACCCCATAGACTATACAGTCTATGGAATTCTGCAGGCCAGAATACTGGCGTGGGTAGCCTTTCCCTTCTCCAGGGGATCTTCCCAACCCAGGGATCGAACCCAGGTGCCCTGCATTGCAGGCAAATTCTTCACCAGCTGAGCCACAAGGGAAGCCCATACCATTCATTATTATCTATTGCTAACTCTTGGTGCTCCGAACTAAATGACAAATCACCTCAAAACTTAGAGGCTTAGCACAGTAATCATGTATTATTTCTCACCAGTGGGTAGAAAAAGGCAGTGGGTAGGCTGGGCAGCGTTTCTGATGTAGGCCAATTTAAGCAGATTTCAGCTGAGCTCACACATGAATCTGCTGTCAGGTCGCAAATCAACTTGATGCCGAAAAGATCTGTAATAATCTCAATCACTTTTCTATGTGGTTTCTAATCCTAACAGGCTAGCCTAAGCTTGTTAACATGACAGTTCAGGGGTCCAAAATAGCTTTTAAATGGAAGTTTACAACTAGCACAACATAATTTCTGCCTCATCCCATTGGTTTGGGCATGAATTGGGCCGAGCCCAAATTCAAAGGGTGGAGAAATAGACTCCATCTCCTGATATAAGGAGATGCAAAACCAGATTGCAAAAAGGCATGGAGACCAAGAGAGGAATAGGTGTGGCCATTTTAAAAACATTTTTACCACCTTTTCTGATCTTCATTTCTTTTTACCTCTAGATTTTTCCATCTCAGGTCACCTTCATTCTGCGTGAAGCACGTCCTTTTGTATTTCCTTTAGTGAGAGCTGACTAGCAGCAAACAATTTTGGTTTTCATTTGACTGAAATCTCTATATTTAATCTTTATTATGGGACAGTGCTTTCACTGGATGTAGAATTCTAGGGTGATAATTGTTTTCTCTCAACAATTGAAGACATCATCCCACTGTCTCTGGCTTCCATTGCTGTTTTTATGAAATCAGGTATTAGTTGATTTCTCTTTTGTAGGTTATCTATCTTTTCTCTCTGCTTTTTAAATAGACTTTATATTTTAGACATAAAATATTTATAAATAAATAAATA